GACAAGAGACACCCAGTCTTCAACGCAACCAAAGAAGACTACAAAAAAGAAAGTGGTGTAATCGTCTACTTAATCGTCTACCTCGTACTATGTGTATTGTCACGTGATGTTGGGTGGGTTACTCAATGATCTACTAAGGAAAACTGAAATAATTTTGATGAGTGTAGGTCCGTTACAAACCCTCTGGCTCGAACTTTTCTAATGCGCTGTTGGCGATCAAAGTGCGCACCCGAAGAGGTAACAAACTCTCATGCACCCATAGGAGCTTACGTTCCAGGCAACTACCATTCCTGTCCATTGATTCCTGTCAGACCCCGTCGCCATTGTAACAACGCACATAGGCACATAACCTGTAATTAGGCTTTACTTTTGTGTCACGTGGCAACTTTATCTTCCTTGGTAACTAGATCAGCTCCTTTCTAAGTTCCTTTGATAAAGAAACGCATAAAACATTTCATTTGCATTCGCGGGGCATGTTGATAATGGTTTTGCTGAATAGTTCGGGTGATGTGTCGTATAGTTAGGGATCTTAAGCAAGGTTAACGGCTACGACGACGAGAACGGCAAAAAGCAGTAAGTTTAGATTGGCAAAACAACAACTTTGCAGGTGCATTACGCTTTTTTGAACATTTCTTTGCCGTCATTGCACGACTACGACCTGAAAATGCCCATGTTCACGTTTTGTGGAGGACGTGAACTCAAAACGACTAGTTTCTTTTTCTTTTCCTAACCTTCGATGAAGTCTTTTAGAATTCAACTCCTGAAAAATTGCCAACATTTGACGAATTGAACAAAATGGAATAAGCGCGAAAAAGTTGGAAGTAGCGCGACTTCACTTTTTAATTGACGTTTTCGAAGCCGTCGCGGTCGTTTTTGGTTAAACTCACTAATAGATACAAAGAAGTGCATAAAGGGTTTTAACTCCTGTTGAACAGGGTTTCACTAGCTCCTTATTAAAAACCACATGAATCTGTGGCCTCCTACGTTCACAATGTGCAATATATTCTCCAAAAATTGTAAATAAAATTCTTTTTGAGTGTCAAGCGATCAAATTTTCCTTATATTTTTCCTACAAACGGCTTGTCTCCGTTGCATGTATTTATTTGTTTCCATTTGGGAATTGAGTTTTAACCATTGCGCTCCTAAATATGGCCAAAATTTTGCTAAACGCTGTTTTCCCGAAAAGTAAAAAAATAAATAGTGCTTCGTCAAAATACTGCTGAAACGGTTTCATTTGAATGGCTACAACATAGGATTTCACCTACAGACTCAAAAGTTACGGAACTACCTTTAGTTAGATCTAAGCAAGTATTTATAAGTGGGTGTTATGTGTGCCGGGCCTTTCAAATTTACCTCTAAATTCAAAGTGATAAAATTTACCGCGTTTGTATATAGAAAAACTTGATGTATCATCAGTAGAGGTAGACTTGCTGCAAGTCGACCTCTTGGCGAGCGGAGCGAGCCTTGTTTGGCCGCGGAAGTCTACAGTAGAGGGAGCTTTAAAAGCTAATTTTTGAACTATTCATTAGTCTTCAAGATGTAATCTCTGTCAGAAATCAAATAAATATTGAGTTCAAAGAGCTAGTTCATATATCAAGCAACCGGTCTGTGATTTTAACGTTTGACACTTGGTAATTACAGCTATTTCGAGAAAGGTCGGAAAAGTATGCACTCGACAATCCCGAAAGGTAATATGGGATATGCGCAATACACTGTTCCTGACACTGAAGTTGTCGAACCTACTTTTGTTGCTTTCCTTTAGCACTCACAGACATATGTCCATGGCCTCTCCTGCCATTCTTCCAAATTTCTTTGGAAAACAGTGGATTCAAAACCACCCACAATATCTTTCGGGGTTGTCGCGGGCACTTTATCCGACAACCTTTCTCAAAATAGCTGTATATTGCAGTCTTACTGCGCTATTCACAAACATGCGAACTCTATAGTTCAAAAGCCGCCCTCGCAATTGCGTTTTTGGCTGCCGTCAATCATAATTACGATCACAAGTAACGAACCTTGAAACACAGAAACACACAAGACCAAGACGGATTGAAATCCTCCAATCACAAATCAGAAACCATGACCTTTTGAACCTGTTAAAGTAAAGTTTTGTTTCCTAAGAGGACCGTTAAGATGACTGATGGCAGCGGAAAACGCAATAGTCAGTTGGCTTTTGAACTTCAGAATTCGCATGTTTGTGAAAAGCGCAGTAAGGCTGCAGCTGACTTTGTGATAGATCAGATCAGTACTATACAGTAAAAAACCTGCGACTAAGAACCTGCATTTTTCCAAGTTAGCCTAAACAGGTTCTTATGTAAATGGTAATTATTACATAGGGGGCCTAACAGGCAAATTTTAGCCTAACAGGGTCTTAGTGGCGGGTTTTTACTGTACTACTTCTCATTATAATTTGATGCCATAATACCAGCGTCAAACAAATACCTGACGGTTCACCAACAGGTTATCATTAATAGTGACAGTACTTGCTGAAACACACTCAAATTCATCTTTGGCTGCTTGTAATTCAAAAACTAGTTTGGTCTCCTCCGTTTTTTATTAGCGAATTTTAATCAGGGCCGGGTTGTTCGAAGCTGAATTAAGATAACCCAGGCTTAGTGCAAAATTTGACTTCAGATAAAAAAGCCTAGAAAGGAAATTTAGTTTAATTCTTTTTATCCACAATTTGATGACTGGAAGCGCTAAAAAGAATAGAGAGAATTATCTAAAAAAATGTTGTTGAAAAGAAACGCGGATTCATATCTAATCCAGACTTAACGCTAATCGGCGTTTAAGCAACTGGGCCCATCATATCAAGATTCAGCTTTTCTAAAAGTTTTAAAGGGAAAAGCAATGATTTGGAGCGGGTCCGGAGCCACCTCCAATTATGGAAAAATTAAGGGGCTCTATACCCATTCGCGGCCTTACTTCGTGTAACATACGAACATGAGGCATTTTTTGTCCATGTTTAAAAGACCCGTTGACACAACTTTTTAAGGCTATGTTCACACTAAAGCGGACAGCGGACAGTAGTGAACACCTATCCGATATGTGACTCTCCATTTTAAAGATCGGCGCGGTGCAGCTCCGCTCCGTTACAGAAATCGCGCCGAAATCACTGTTCTTATGTGTGAACAGAAGCCTAGACTACGAGTAGTCCCCCATTTTTCCTCAGAGATAATAGGGCGTGGGAAACGCGAGCGCGCGTGAAAGTCACTCCACGCGAGAAAAGGAGACACGCGGCGGGGAGAGACGAAAATTGCCTTTTCTCGCGTGGGGTGATTTTCACGCGCGCTCACGTTTCGCACGCTCTACTATCCCTGAGGAAAAATGGGGGACTACTCGTAGTCTAACAGAAGCCCTATACGCTATGGTTTCCGCGCCGGCGCAAACGCTATCCGGTAGAGTGTGAACATAGCCTAAGAATGCTTAGCAAAATATGCAAATAACAACTCAGCAATGGAAAATGGTCGGCGCTGAACTCGTGTTTGAATTGTAAGGGTAAGGGTGTTCTTGACCGCTTATACTGTTGCCATGGTAACAGAAAATGATCATAACTTGTTATGCAAACATCGGTTAATTGTTTGGTGCAATTGTTATAGTATTACCGAAAACATTGTGGTAGCACTGATTCATAAGTAAAACTCTCAAAAATGCAAAAAACCATCATGAGCCACCTTAACAAATCCTCAGATTTACATTAAGATAATTTTTTTGGTCCTAATGATGGGAAAAAAAAAGTGTTTTAGGAGGAAACGTACAGAGATGAATGGGTTAAGGTGACCTAACTGATAGGTCGAGACCTGAAAATTTTGCCCTGGCAAGAAAACCTGTTGTTGAGTGGTCAATCTCTTATCCAGAGTCTTCTTGATTTTTGGTCAGCTAGCAGCGTCTGCCTGCTGACTAAAAAGGCCAGAGTACTCTGGGTCCGATACAGCTGTGTGTTTTAAAGCTACGGTAAGTCGGGCAACATAAATGAGTAACTTGTTTTGAAACATTACTAAAGAAGGTATTGAACGCGATATGGCGCGTTATAAAACCCACGTTCAAACCTGTCTTGCAAACAAATCAGGTTGTTGCAAGTTGCGTGAATACTAACTACTGATTGGACAAAATTGAGCAGGAGTCAGGCCATACACGGGACTTAAACCCCATTTATACGTGCTAAAAAATCGGGACGGCACGCCAAATTTTTGGCACCGTGCCTCGTTCACCCGTGCCGAGACTACCTCCGGGAGGTAGTCTAGGCACCCCTAGAATTTTGAGCACTGGTGCCACACTACATTTGGGACCCATACGTTTACACGTCGAAAATTTTAAAATCGTCAGCACGGTGCCAAAAATTTGGCGTGCCGTGCCGATTTTTTAGCGCGTGTAAATGGGGTTTTAGTCACTTACTGTCAAACAAGTTTGTCTTGGTCGGTAAAACGCACAACCTGTACAGATTTTGTTGCAAAAAGTAGAACTTCTCTCCACTTTCTACAACAACTTTTCGCAACCTGTAACAACCTAATTGTTGCAAGACAGGTTTGATTCGCGGGTGGTAAAACGCGAGACATCGCTTTTCAGCTCGTTTTGTATCAATGCTGCAGAACAAGTTGTACGTTTTTGTTGCCCGTTTTTCCATACCGTAAAAGAACTTAAAGGTCACTCATGGCTACGATATAATGAAGCTGCGCGGACCTGTGAATGCACCCGTAATTGTGCCACCTGCTATCATTGTTTACCAAACGACTTTTTAAGGCAAAAGAAAATTTCATTCTTTTTCTTCAATAGTCACCACGCGGGAAATGTGCAAAGGAAGTGAGTACACTAATTGTTTTAAAATGAAACGCACTCCAAGAGTAAAGCTTCTAAAAAATAGAAGCTTTTGATGATAACCACGGAACGGGGAATTGTTTTGACTTCAAGTAATTGTTCAAACACACATCACTTCGTAAGCAGTTCAATGAAGGACGGAAAGAGATTGCAGCGGAAAGTTTCTCCCGGTGTTTTTGGCGGCCATGTCGACCACTGACGAAGATACCTACGAATTAAAACAACAGAGAAGTACTGGATATTTGAAGACTGTATTTATCTCGAGCGGCCTGAGTTGCTTTATAACAATCGCTGTTATTTCGTTTTTATTACGAAACACAGCGTTTGTCAACATCTACATCCCAAACACTGACGCGCATGAAAACAACAAGAATCTCCCAGAGCGAAGATCATACGCCAAGAATGTGGAATTGGTAATCTTGCCCTTCGCTGTTAAACAAGGCGCGGTGTGTTTGGATGGTTCCTCCCCGGGATACTACTTCAGACAAGGTCATGGTAAAGGTAGCGATAAATGGATCATTCATTTTTTCGGGGGGGCTTGGTGCTTTGACGAAGAGTCTTGCCTTCAACGGAGTAAGACACGGTTAGGATCTAGTAATTTTTTTCCGCCTCACCCTCCGACATTGCAAGGAATTCTCTCGGAAAATGAGAAGATTAATCCAGACTTTTATAATTGGAATTTGGTGCTTTTGTGTTATTGCGACGGTGCGTCGTTCACTGGCTACCGACCGGATCCTGTAAATGTTAACGGACAGTACATTTATTTGAGAGGAAGAAAAATTCTCGAGATTATTATCGATCAGCTACTACAGAGCGATTTTCAGAAGGCGAATCGCCTGCTCCTTAGCGGGACCTCCGCTGGAAGCTTAGGAGTAATGATGCACGCTGACTTCATCCGAAGCCGAATTCCCAAGTCGATAGATGTTCGTGCATTAGTCGACTCGGGTTACTTCGTAGATGTGGCCGCCTTAAGCGGAGATAACATTATTAACAGACATTTCAGAAAGATGTTCGACGTTCATAACTCGGTGGGGGGCGTCGACGAAGACTGCGCTCGGGGATTCACTCCCGAAGTTCGCTGGAAATGTCTCTTCCCCCAGCATGTGCTAAGGTTTGTCAGCACGCCTCTCTTCGTGTTACAGTCGGCTTACGACGAGTGGCAACTTATTCACATTCGCGGCATCAACTGTCAAGTTCCGGAATACAGCGACAATTTCATGTGGAAACGAAGCTTGTTTCGGAGATCTACGAAAGACACTAGTGCCATCCCGAACAAGCCGAGCCCTGATCGGAGCTGGAACTACAAACACATCCACGGTATCTATTGCAGACCACCGGAATGCACGCGAGACGAAATGGCAGCGATAATGCAGTACAGAAACGTTAGCCTATATGCACTGCGTCCTGTAATGCAGTCACCGACTGCGGGACTTTTTGTGAGTTCGTGTTTAGAGCATTCGCAGAGTTTGTATGATGACACGTGGACTGGGATTTTTGTCAATGGATTTAGCGTAGCTGAAGCTGTGGGGAACTGGATGTTTGATAGGACAAACCAACACCAACACATAGATTGTGAACTCCCCTGCAACCCTTCATGTGCAAACGTGTGGTGATATTTTCTAGGCTGGCGCTTTTCACTGAATGAGGTACATACGTCGCCACTCTATAGACTGCGTGCGAAACAAAGGGAGTGGAGAGGGGAAGAAAAACGCAAAGAGAAGAAAAGAAGAGAAGGACTGAGGAGTCACATAAGCTACAACCCAATCACTCTCTTCCTCCTCCTCACCTCCCAGTGGCGGATCCAGACCTTCAGATAAGGGGTGGTGGTGGGGGGAGGGGGGGAGGGGGAGGGGTTGTTAGTGGCCATCCAGACTCTGAGAAAATGGGGGGCCAATCTCAAAAGAAAACAATTTCGGCCCTTTTGGCATCAGTTTGGTCTAAAAATAAGGGGGGCGGGGGCCGGGCCCCTCCCTTGGATCCGCCACTACCTCCGCCACTTTATGTATTGTACTACATACCGGGGAGGGCACTCAAGGGAAACTTAGACAAAGGTGTGCCGCCGGGGTATCAAATAGCCTGCGTAGCAGGCGTCGAAAGGGATAGGGGATAGGGAGAAAGGGAAAAAGGGAGGGGGGGTTGGGGAGTGCTTTTCTCCCTCCCCCTCCCCTTTTTGCGCCTGCCACGCAGGCTACCTTCAAATGAACATCAAGCTGAAAACCACGGCGAATGCGTAATGTACTGGCCATGCCGCGGAGTTGGTAGTGTGCGCTTCAGTGCTGAATTTCGTTTGAGAACCATACCCTTTCCGTTTAGGACAAATAAGGGAAACCTACACTACCGGGACAATATAGCTGTAAACTAGAAACGCATCATCCGCCTCAACTTGAACAAGCACCATGAATTTCGATATATACTACCCTAAATCCTCCAAAAGAAAAAAAAGTGAAAACAGGAGCTCATAATCGGGGTAGGACACTGTAACTGGATACCTTCTCGAATAATGGGGTTGGTTCCATCTAAAAAGTCAAATGTGCTATTTTTAGCAAAAATTGTGCCATCTCGTGTGACACGCGCTCGCATGTTTTTGCGAGGACGCCGCGCAAGGAAAAACAAACAACATGGCGTCAGAAGTTACCTCCGTAGAAGATAAATAAATTCAATTTCTGTCATCATTCCCTCGCTGATTTTGAGGCAAGATCTTGAGGATATCCTCTTTGACAATATGAAAGACTGTGAATATAATTCTGATCATGATAATAACCGTAATGACAGTGTTTTTGAAAAATCTAGTTACAAAGAGATGTCGGAGATTTCATGGGATGAATATCCCGCTCGGAGGCGAGAAGAAAAGAAAAAAACTTGCGGGAAAAAATTTTCCCACCTGTTATCCTTGGCAGCGTGGCGCCTTGATCAAGGGGCCGACCCTCCGTGTAGATAGTACAGGTTCGACTCTCAGCGTAGCTGTTTATTTCTTTCTTGCACACTTTTTTTCTCGTTTTGTTTTTGATTTTTTGAATCATATTTTTCCCCTTTGGCTTGTTTCCCTTTATTGTTACTGCTGGCACATAACTGCTTCGCGAGGTTTTTGCGATAAACGTATTTCTGTAGCCTGAGTTGCAGCCGGCCCACGCATCGTTTATGTTAATGACATCAATATTTTAAAAACCATAAGCTTAGAGTGACTGGGACGCAGGCTAGAAATGTTTACAGCTATCTCGAGAAAGCTTGTCGGAAAAAATGTGCCCTCGACAACCCCGAAAGGTAATATGGGATATGATCAATACAGTGTTCCCTGACACTGTAGCTTTCAAACCTACTTTTGTTGCTTTCCTTTAGCACTCGCAAACATACATCCATGGCGTCTCATGCCATTCTTTCAAATTTCTTTGACGAGGAGTGAACTCAAAACCACCAACAATACTTTTCGGGATTATCGCGTTCACTTTTGGGACAACCTTTCTCGAAATAGCTGTAAATAATATTAGCTCATTCTTCCACTGTGCATGCATTGTATATCGAGTTATTAAGCCCTTGAAAAGTTACGAGACCACTCAAATAAAGTCGCAAACCGATCGCCCATCTCCTGAAATTCCACACGAGAGCCGCGCATATTTGCGGGTCCCCGCGCGAGTTTGTGACGTTGAGGTAGCGCAGTTTGTTCTAAAAATAGCACATTTGGCAAGTTCGATGGAACCGCGTGGACCCCGCCCTTGCGATCTCCAACTCCGATTATGGCTCCTGGTGCAAACGATTCATTGTGTGTCCACGCAGATCATTTCAAATGCTGTAGTTGATCGTTTGGTACGAATTACACGACGGTTTCAAATTACGCAAGAAGCGTGGAAGAATGACAGCATGAAAGTCAGTGGTCAAAGAGGCAGTTAAAGATTGCTTCCAAATTCGCCCAGATACAAACCCAGTAACACTTCGAAATTATTTTAATGTAAAATGTTTTTGTCGGTACCTGGATATAAGATGTACCTTATCAACCTGATAACTGACAAATTGTGACAGTAAATAAATAATAATAACAAATACGACTTCCCTAGAGTTTCAGTAAAACAGAAATTCTCCAACTGATATTTTTTTTCCTCAAAAAAATAAAAAATAACCGCTACATTTTTTTACCTCTAACAAATCGCAATGTCTGGTGAATTTTACCTAACATGCGTTTCTCGGCGGAAATACCACTGCGACTTCTCAGGTTCTCGTCCGAGTGTAGGTTATGCTATCAGTCGCGAAAACCACGTGATCCAGTCTTTGCGACTTCTTACAGACGTTTCGAAATTGTCGGAAATTTTAACCGACTGGAAAACCTTCCCTATTTTGCTCACCTCAGCTTTTCTGACTTTAATCGTTGTCTTTGTTTTCGTAGTTGGTCGAACTCCCTAAACATCAATTTTCATACTACAAGCATTTACTACCTTTGTTGTCATAGCTGATGAACTCCCTAAACATCACACTACAAACAATTACTGCCTTGGTTTTAGTAATTCGCTGAACTCCCTTAACATCATNTTCAGTAAAACAGAAATTCTCCAACTGATATTTTTTTTCCTCAAAAAAATAAAAAATAACCGCTACATTTTTTTACCTCTAACAAATCGCAATGTCTGGTGAATTTTACCTAACATGCGTTTCTCGGCGGAAATACCACTGCGACTTCTCAGGTTCTCGTCCGAGTGTAGGTTATGCTATCAGTCGCGAAAACCACGTGATCCAGTCTTTGCGACTTCTTACAGACGTTTCGAAATTGTCGGAAATTTTAACCGACTGGAAAACCTTCCCCTTTTTGCTCACCTCAGCTTTTCTGACTTTAATCGTTGTCTTTGTTTTCGTAGTTGGTCAAACTCCCTAAACATCAATTTTCATACTACAAGCATTTACTACCTTTGTTGTCATAGCTGATGAACTCCCTAAACATCACACTACAAACAATTACTGCCTTGGTTTTAGTAATTCGCTGAACTCCCTTAACATCATGCTACAAGCATTTACTCCCTTTGCTGTGGCAGTTGCCGAACTCCCTAAACACCACACTACAAAGAATTACTGCACTTCGTTTTAGTAATTGGCTGAACTCCCTAAACATCATACTACAAGCATGTACTAGTTATTGGCCTAAAAAATTTAAAAATGCACGCATGCTCAGTAACACTTGTTTCCAAACCTCGTATTCGTGGGCGTCGTCGGTGCTAAAACTTCCCCACAACATCAAAGGATATCGCTATAATCATACACGAATCCTGTACGACCAATGTTTCCCTTGTCGTCTTCGACTAACAGCGTAGAGGCATTGTCCATAAGCTCTCCCCTGGAGAGAGAAAAAGTGATTGGTGGGTTGGGCTGGAGGAATTCCCAGTGCTTATAGACTTCACTGTGTGACTTGTTCCATAGCTCAATCAGTCTTATTCCGTTTGGCGCGTCAACAACAAGTTTGTCATCGGCGTCTTCTTTGGTCGCTACAACGTCAGAATCACTGAAAACGAAGGAATTTCCCCAGGAAAATTAACCAAATAATCAATACGATGCACGTCTTCAAAACTTAAATCTCTCTAAATAATTCTTAAAAGCTACGCAAAGCTATTCTTAACAATATTCCTAGCCCAACAAACCAGCTGAAATCTTGCCTTAATAATTCCCTGTTACTTTCATCTTTACGTGAAATCTGCCATATGTCAACATCGATCTTTCCAGAAACAGTCCGAAAAAAACTTGTTAAAATAAAGACATTTTATTTGTGTTTTCATGTTGGTGTCTAATGAAGAATCCAGATTGGCTTTCTCTCCTTGGTATCGAAACATCCTAGCTATTTACCACGTTAAATATCATGGGCGGTTTCTTTCTTCTTTTTGACGTATTCATGGTTTTTTTTTCACGGTAAATTTATCTCGAGAAAGTGCGGTCACACGCAGCACACCAACTTTCCACAGTAAAAGAGTCGTTTACCAAGGGAAAAGTGTCCCGTGTAACCGCACCTAATGATAGTTTTTATAGATTTTCCCCTGTGATTATGGTCAATCCCTTCTTTTTAAGTGTCCGTGTTTGAGAGATACACTTCTTATTGAGATTCAAAAATAGTTTTTTTTTTTATTAAAAAGTAAATTTATCTCGAGAAAGTCCGGTCACACGCACCGCACCAATTTCCCATGGTAAAAGGGTCGCTTATTAAGGGAAAAGTGTCCCGTGTAACCTCACCTAATACACCTTTTTACAGATTTTCCCCTGTGATTATGGTCAATCCCTTCTTTTTAAGTGTCCGTGTTTGAGAGATACACGTCTTATTGAGATTTAAAAATAGTTTTTTTATTAAAAAGTAAATTTATCTCGAGAAAGTCCGGTCACACGCACCACACCAATTTCCCATGGTAAAAGGGTCGCTTATTAAGGGAAAAGTGTCCCGTGTAACCTCACCTAATACACCTTTTTACAGATTTTCCCCTGTGATTATGGTCAATCCCTTCTTTTTAAGTGTCCGTGTTTGAGAGATACACGTCTTATTGAGATTCAAAGAAAATGACTAAAGAACAGTAAGAAAACCAAGAGTTGAATCCTCGAAACTAGCAAACATTTAAAATAGGGGTAAATTGAGTGACGTTTTAGGGTATCTGTAGACTGCGCGAGTAGACCTGGGATAACGGAATAATCGAAAAACGTGAACGCGCGTGAAAAAAGCCATCCGCTATTTTCTTGCGCACTCAAATATTCTATGTTGGTTCTTAACATCCCTGAGAAAAGTATGAAGTACCCTGGGTACCAGAGGATTTTTCTCGCGTGCGATCGACGAGGCGCTTCGTCGGCCAAAGGCCGACACGTTTGAGACTTGAACGAAACCGGAAACCACGCATGAAAAGCCTTTAGCACCCGGGGTAAGTATGAGACTACTTAGGTCTAAAGTATTGCCACAAGTACCTGCTTAGAAGTGCTCCAAGCGATCCAACAAATTCTCCACTTGTACCAATGATGCCTAGAATACTTCTCCCCGGGGGAGCCTTAAGGTGGTATTCATCACCACCCACCCCTCCCATCCATATACTAGACTTTTGATTAGTGTGGAGTCTAATCGCATCAATCCATCCTCCAGCTCTGACATCAATCCCGGTGATGTATTCATCCGGGGAACTGATGGTGAAGATATACCGCTTTCCTACGCCATCTGTGCCATGGGGATCCGACAAAACCTCTTGGCAGTCTAATAAGTGACAAGAAAAAATGAAATCCAACAGTCATGATCATTGAACTTTTGCTCGAAAAGGGTGCGAATTGTAATTAAAAAGGGTTGAAATGGTATACAAGAAACAAGTTAGTCTCTTAAAGGGGTCGGTGTGTGATGGACTATCTGGCCTTTGCGGTATTAATTCACTTCAACATTTTCCAGTCACCTTTAAATCTTAAATTTTCCTTTTTTCACTATTTCAAACAGTCCCTCCTTCATTTTTCTTCACCATTAAAAAATCACCCATCAAGCACTCCCAAGGACTCCACCCTAACGGATGCATTTTTAGATGGAAAGAAACTTTAGGGAGATTTCAAAGGAAATCTGTTTTAAAGTTTAGTTCTGGGGAACTAGGCAGTTGATCATAGTCCTCCTTAATATCATCTGCTAAGTACAATTTAAATCGCATGACTAGGAGAGTTCCTACAAATGTTAGGTTATTGTTTCAAAACACTTAGGATTGATATTTAACATGTGTCCATAAGTCAAGAAAGTTTTCCACCCACTTTCACCTCCCCCTCCCAACCCTGCTAAAAGGAATGGCTGCCATTTGGTAGAATAGCCAGGACTACAGATGTGTTTGTGAATTGTTACATTATAGTGAAAATCCATGGCGTAGTTCTATTATAAAATGGAATAATAGCGTTGTTGCTAAGATTTCTTCAATATCTTCCGGTTGTTGTTGACAATGACTGACGTTTCGGCGAACTGTGCGGTAGTCATCTTCAGAGTCAAAGTTAGTTGCATCACGTCAGTTGATGGTATAAAACTCTCGGTTATTGACCTGATTGATCAATTAAGTCACGACATTATTGGTCGTCTGTCGGTTAAGCCGTGATGTTACTGGTTATGATGACTCTGAATGTCCAGTGACACAGGACAGATACGGAGTATTATACAGGACCAGGCCACTTACAATGTTGAGACCGGCAAAAGCCTTAGCACGCTACTGACTGAATACAAACGAGCGACAAAATGGGGAGGTCAACAATCACATTGCTGAACACCAATTTAAGACGACTAATTGACGGACTCAACAAAATTTACAACAACAGAATTACTAGACAACCAACAATGCGACTATCAAGAAATTACTGTTAAACTGGGACAAAAGATGGATCAAAACACACCAATACATTCAGAGTCATCATAGCCAGTAACATCACGGCTTAACTGACAGACAACCAAACATCACGACTTAATTGACCAATCAGGTGAATAACCAGAGTATAATACCATCAACTGACGAGATACAACACAGTTTGACTCTGAAGATGACTACCGCACAGGTTGTCAAAATGTCAGTATCTACATTCCTTCTACTCATATTCTTGTTTGGGTTACCTACTCAGTTAGTTCCACAAACTATTTAGTTGTCCCAAACTCTGCACAATAAACCTACAATTGAAATCCCCTTTCCCTTCACAGTCTCTCGATTTTATATCTAAAGCACTAATTTGTATTAATTATAATTATTCTGTGTGAGTTTAAATAAAAATTGACTTGACTTGACTTGACTTGACTTGACTTGTCAATGACAACAGTCCTTTTCAGGACTACGCCCACCCAGACAATCAAGCTTCACAAAATCATTAAATAGATATTGAAAGGCATACCAGATTGTTCTTGATTTCCTATGATCTGTATGCAGTTAACATATTCCCCAGTGTGGATAATAAAGCCCCCTAGGGCTGCCCCCTGGGACTCTAGCCACTTGACACTGTTGAATGACTGCTGATTCTTCTGATGGCAGCCACCACTGTTACCAACAGGACCACAAACATTGTGACACCAGTGCACTAAGGGATTGTTAAAGACACTTTCATCATCTCCTTCAGGACTGGAATTGGATAACCATCTATGAATCAAAGAAACTTTAGTCATATACGAGTAGTCAACTGTCTTTGAGAGAGACTGCACCAATAAGGACTGGGAATTACTGTTTGTCATAGTGAGGATGATCAGCAAAAGGGATTTAATAACAAAATGATGCCATAAACTTCTCAGGAAAAGCTGTTTAATTATATAAATAAAATAAAAAAAATAAATAATGATTTAGAGGTAGTACGCTGTGCATCCACAATTAAAAGTGGTTCTTTATCTACCATTCCTGGTCAAATCGGAATTTGGAAATGTTGGTTTTTGAGGAGAAGAGAAAACTGGAGGACCTGGAGAAAAACCCCTCGGAGCAAAGGAGAGCACCAACAACAAACTCAAACCACATGTGGTGTAGACACCACGACTTGAACCCAGGCCCCATACTAATGGGAGACAAGTCCTCTCACCACTGGGCCACCCTTGTTCCCGTTTGCTAATAGATGATCATAAAAGATGCATACAATACTGCTAAAAAAAACATAGCAAGTTTGTTTCCAAGGCAAAAATAGAAGTTTCTGAAACCTTCCTGGCTAGTGAAACTCAAAGAGACCATTTTAGGAGGTGTCCTTCTTTACATAGAGGTGCCCATGGAGAGAATAGAAGTGGTGATAAAGGGCTGGTAAAGGCAGTTGATAGTAGTTAGGTGTAAGATTGTAAAGTCAAACCTCTATTAAGCGGTCGCCTATCAATTTCTTGAAATTTGCTTCCCATAATTCCTTTAAATTAATTTAACCTCTATTCAACGGTCACTTGTATAAAGCGGATGTGGTCACCATTTGGATCTCCCAAATGGCTAATTTTATTGTGATTTACCTGTGCTAAACAGTCAGCTTGCTACACAACAATCAATAAATGGCACATTTTTTGACACAAAGATAAGCAAAGCATGTCCAGTTTCTTTCATAACTCATCACATGCAACATAAGATTATAATCTGGGCTGTTAAATACACATCTCTCTCTTCATGTTGAATGAGGTTTTAAAATTGTTGATGATGTGCTTGATTGTAAAGACACTTGCCTGATGAACATTAATGTAAAATTTGTTTAGGCGTGAACTCTTTAAAATATCCAAATACACTTGAACCTTCGCTAAGGCCACCTCTTTACGACAGCGACTTTTTTTCGTCCCAGAGGAGAAAAAATCCATACATCGACTCTTGTTTGAAACCTCTCTAAAACAGCCACCTCTTTACAACGGCCACTTTCTTCTGTCCCCACAGTGGCCATTGTAGAGAGGTTCAACTGTACTTTTATCATAAATGTTGTTACTGTTGTTGTGAACAAAATAAAGACTGTGAATAGAGTGTTCAATTTTGCCCTCTATGTCAATTTCTGCAACATAATGGGGTTAATTTAGAAAATTTTTTTACGCAGTCATCTGGTGGCTAATTCCCAGGGGTGACCGCTTAATAGAGGTTTGATCATAGTAACCTATTTCAACTGAAAACTAACTTATATCTACACAGTATAAAAGTTGTGCTAACAGAAGAAACTCACTTATGATAAGAAAGCAGAACAGCAGAGGATCTATACCAGTGGGCTCCATGGGTCCAATCACTAGGTGTGGCAACGTTGGTGTTTTCAACGGACACACTCCTATCTTGTGATCGGGATACAAGTGCTTCAGCAGCTGAGTAGCCTGTGGTTGACACACGAGCTGAAGTTGCTACAGCTCTGTTGGTAGATTTTTCTGGGTCTACTGTGACAAAGGAGAAAAGGATATCTAACAACATTATTCCACAGGTGGGCGTTGGATTACGAGATGGTACATGGCCAACGAGGCGTGTAGTGCCGAGTTGGCTAAAATCAACTCATATCCAACAACTGTTTTATTAAAAACGCCCCAAAATAGTGGGAATTCTTCCTGACTTTATTTGTATATACAACCGATTTTCAGCTTGTTTTTAATTTTGAGCAGACGCGTACAGTTACCATATTTGGAGGGTATGGTATAATGGCTCACACGTCATATGAGAAGTATGTTTTTCACTTGAAGTCAGGAAGAAAAGTGCAAGATGACAGGCATGTTCCTCTATAATTGAAAGCACAAACAGTTACTGAGTTTAGGGGGCTAGGTCACTTTTTTTCTTACAAAATGATCACAGAACTGACTAAATGGTTGGGCAGGAAAGTGTGAGTGCCATGATTTCTGGCATATCTGTATAATGAGTTCTCCTTGGAATTGTATTTCACAGTATCAAATACTGCGCCTCTTCCCTAAAAGATTACTACAGATTTTAAACGAATTGTAATATTCTATTGCATGGAATATTCTACCTTAATATGCCCGCAAATCTTAAATTCGGCTATCGACACTTGCATTACAAAATCATCAGTCATTGTACTTCCTGGTATGATAACACCTGCTGTCTCTATGCTAGGCAGACAACCACTTTTGAGAGGATGTGAGCTTCAGTGAGTCCAAATTTGTCCCCCCATTTTTCTTTAAAATGAACCTACATTTAAAAATGTTTAACAGTCCATCAAGCACACCCTAGCTACAGTCCCACAGTTGTCTGCTTTGTAAAAGTTCAACTGTTTCTACTATCAATCATTCTCTAGCACCTAACCTGGCTTCACAGATTCAGCTATCAGATCCTTTTCTAATGAACTGGGTTTTCTCCACATGGTCCATACACAGTTCATGTCATCAAATCCCCTACCCATAATGCCTTTAGGAGTGTGTGCCAGATCAAAGCAGTGACCGAGTTCATGCATTGAAGCTCCAAGACCAGTGGCGTAGTTTGCCCAGTAAGTGCCCCTGAAACAAAACGAAAAAGCTTTTTATAAGAAAAATCTTTTGCTCCCAAGAGGGAAGAAAACCACACTTCCAAATGATGGGAAAATAGTGGCAACAAGTAAGAGTACCATTGAAAAGGATTTCTATACATGTATATGTTATATGTCAAAATAAAATTAATTTTCTATTTCTTTTGTTGCTCTAATCATTTATGAATTAGGGCTAGCAGAAAACGGAAATTGAAAATCAACCTCTAGGTAAAACATTACTCAACCTGAATATTATATTTTGACCTGTAATATAAACAAACAGTCAAATTACATGGTGAAGGACCACATTATTTTCCAGGATCTCTCTATAATTATTATATCCCTTGTTTGTGAGGGCCGTGGGGCTTTCTTTCTTTTATTTGATTGGTCACACCAAAGAAGTCCATCAACTAACTCAATAGTTAGAACTACACAGTCACTGGGCTGAAGAGGTTTCATAGATACTAGAATAATAACAACATTGGGATTTCATCCACAGAATCTAAAGTTAAAACCACTGTACAGATTATAAATAATGTAGTTATGGGGTTACATTAATATTATGAAATTTTTAATGATCAAAATAAAGATTTTGTCCAAGACAACATTGAGTCAAAAGCTAGAAATTCCATTTAGTAAAAATTAATGTAAATCTTGGAACAAATGCCCTGTGAACAGAGGCTTCTCTCTTGCATGGCTGTAATTGTTTAGGAAGTCATTTGTGTCGCTGGTCAGTCGCGTAGTTGGTTTGTTTTATATGCTCTGGGGTGTGTAAAACAAACCAACTACATGACTCACGAGGGACGCGAGCGACTTTGTTAATTAATGCTAAAAGCCATGCAAGAGAGAAAGAATCATTGTATAGATGGAAAGCAAGTACTTGGACAATAAATAAATAAACCTCTGATCACAAAGTAGGAAAAAAGGTAGGGCATGAAAAGGTCCTGTCCGGTAGTCCAGTCTACCGTGATATTTTCATGCTGTGCAGGTAACTTTGAAAGCTGACTTATCCAATGGACAAGAGTCCAAGCAACTCACTTTCAAACTAAATCATTGACAAGTTTTTCAAGACCTAAGAAGATTATGCCACATAGGTTGACAACAATAAAGGAATTTTTTCACCACGCTAGCCTTTTTAAATTAAATGCAATAATTCTCACTATTTCAACTGACAAAGGCTTTAACACTAGCCAAAATGTCTCGAGAAGGAAAAGGGTTACTCAAATAATTTAGACTCAAAGTCCACATTTATTTTTAATATTATTACTGAGTTTAAACTGAACAAATAAAGGTTTACATTCATCTTTGTTTAATCTACCTTGGAGGTGACAGTAGTTTCTCAAGGTCAAACAATTACTCAGAACGTAGTCATTTTGTTCCGTGGTTGAGAAGTTGTGAACTTCGGGTCCACACGTCGGGAGGACAAGGTTTGTTACGTTCTATCCCTCCTCCGAGGGCAGTGTGGGCCTTGACATATTTTGTAAAGAGTTTCTCATCAAACTGATCTGAAGGAGGTGGGTCATAATGGGTGCAGGACATAAAAGTCCAGAACTTACACATTGGATCATAAAGATTTGAGCACTTGAGTTCTGAAAACAAAGACAGAAATCCCATAATCATAATGCTGTAAATGATCTAATTGACAAGCCCTCTTAAATAAATGGCTCTTGTCTAATAAACCCCTATCCTACACTCTATGATGTTAAGTTTGTATTATGATGCACCTTTCTAATGAGCAGCACCTGTCTAATAGATGCCCCCATGATAATTACTCAAGGGAAGGAAATAGGAAAAAGGGGCCAAATTATTCAAAATATTAATTTATTTAGTTTCTTAATTGACTTACAGGGGTTTTCATTGCGTCTTTTTCAATGTAAGTTGAGATTTGCCTGAGATTAACATGGAGCTGTAAATGGTCTAGACATATCAATGGATGGACTGGATATTTTGATATGTATAAACTCTCTCAAGTGGTGTTTTTGCTGAAAGTATATATTTTAGTTTGTAGGGCTTGTCACAGTTATAGACCCCATCCTCTAAAAAATAAGGGTTTAAATCCAGAAAACAACTTGTGGTTAAAATTAGTACACAAACTTCCAGAGGTTAGAGTGCAGTCTCCTAAGAGCATACAACAGTACTCTCAAAAGACTGGATTCCAGGCCCTAATAGCATTACACTTCTGAGCAAAGCATTTGCCAGTGGAATTCATAAAGGGATGACTCAAAGAAAGAAACAAATGATGCTATAAAGAATTATGACAGGTCACTGGAAATTTTTGGGGGGAGTATGGTGATTAAAGGTGAATGATTTCGTTTCTGCATACCTTTGTTGTCACCGACTATATCATATAGTTGATCCGTTGGAGGCTGGATGGCTGAGTGGTTAGAGAGAGTCGTAATTGTAATCTGGAGACCCCAGGTTCAATTCCCGCCCTATCTGCTATTTGTCCTTGGTAGTCCTGAGTTCAACCCCTCAGCCATGCTTGTAAAGTAGGTGGTAAAGGGTATTTTCGTGAACTGTGAAATTAGCTTTTGATCTATTCCTTGTGAAACGTGATTTAGGTAATTGCTGTGAGCAATGATTTTTGATAATAATTATCTAGGAAACAAGAATCAGCTGTTTAATTCACCATGAACTGTGATTTTCTTTCATATTATTTTTAATTTTTTGAGAGAAATTATAACTTCAACTGTTTGATTGAAGCAGACCAGCTCTCTGAATACGATGACAAATCCTCTGATGACAATGAGTCTGTTTTAGAAGAAGATGGTGCCGTGCATCAACTTCTAAACAAAGACCTCAGTTTCCTTTTCACAGCACCAAGAACAAGAAGCGGGAGAATGGTGAGGACATCGAACAAGGCAGTCCTTTGGCTGTAGTTCTTAACCGAAGTAAGAAAAATTGATCGTATAAAAACCTTTTAAGACGTGAAATGCCAAATTTATTGCCCACGAAATGTGAAATGGCCATTTTATTTTCCATGAAACATGATCAATACCCCCCTTTACCACCCTCTGTAAATAGCCAACTGGTTTGCCTCCAGTCATTTGGGATTCTTAACCTTTCGGCCACAATGGAAACTACTGGTTTATCAGTAATAATAATTGTGTAACCCCTCAGTTGATTAGGTAATAATTAACCCATTCACCCCTGAACCGCCCGTAACCGCCCGTGCGGATCCAGGTCCTTTCTACCCTTTGTGACGTCATCAGTTTTAACGGTCAAGGACAACTTTCTTCGCTAACTTGTGCAAAGTGAAGAGATCTTTCATACCATACCAGAATGAGCACAATTCAGTCAAGGACACCGGAGAAAGAAGCAAAAAACCACCTGACAAGGACCTGAAAATCTCCATGAAAATCTTGTTCCATTACCCACCTACCTTTCCTTTCACCTAATCCTAAGATCCTAAAAGCTTTCCTAAAAACTCTTCCCACCAAAATGAAGCCTACTAAATGCCCAGCAAGAGAAAAAAAAAGTGAGGCAAGAAAAGCGTAAAAAGAAGGGAGGAGAGAAAGCGAAAAGTAAAAGTCAAGACTGCTGTGTCACTTTTAAACCCAAAAACTATGTCGAAATTTTGCTTTCTGCGCATGCCCGAACTTCGCAAGCTGATATTTTGCATCTGGATCAGAAGGCCGCCAAGTGTACGACCTGTAGACCGGTTTGTGGTAAGTTTTAGCTCTTTATAGCACGACAGTGACCAGAAAACCACTCGACTAGCTTCAAAACGCGTTTTTCGGCAAAATCTCCAGGAGCGAATGGGTTAAGAAAAGTACCAAGCTTTTTGAAAAAAATCCACTTTTCAGCATAAAACAACCAAATCTGTCTATTTCAAGTAAAATCAGGTGAAAAAGTTGGTAAAAGGCCATTTTTAGGTTTTTTGATTAACCCATTCGCCCCTGAACCGCCCGTAACCGCCCGTGCGGATCCAGGTCCTTTCTACCCTTTGTGACGTCATCAGTTTTAACGGTCAAGGACAACTTTCTTCGGTAACTTGTGCAGAGTGAAGAGATCTTTCAAACCATACCAGAATGACCACAATTCAGTCAAGGACACCGGAGAAAGAAGCAAAAAACCACGTGACAAGGACCTGAAAATCTCCATGAAAATCTTGTTCCATTACCCACCTACCTTTCCTTTCACCTAATCCTAAGATCCTAAAAGCTTTCCTAAAAACTCTTCCCACCAAAATGAAGCCTACTAAATGCCCAGCAAGAGAAAAAAAAAGTGAGGCAAGAAAAGCGTAAAAACAAGGGAGGTGAGAAAGCGAAAAGTAAAAGTCAAGACTGCTGTGTCACTTTTAAACCCAAAAACTATGTCGAAATTTTGCTTTCTGCGCATGCCCGAACTTCGCAAGCTGATATTTTGCATCTGGATCAGAAGGCCGCCAAGTGTACGACCTGTAAACCGGTTTGTGGTAAGTTTTAGCTCTTTATAGCACGACAGTGACCAGAAAACCACTCGACTAGCTTCAAAACGCGTTTTTCGGCAAAATCTCCAGGAGTGAATGGGTTAAGAGGAAAAGAAGAGAAGAGAGACAAAAAAATTAAACAATATGCTTACCTTTAAAGAAAGTGTTGTACAGTTGATCTCCAGTCATGCTTAAAGCCTCTGCTGAAGTCAACTTGCTAGTAAATATATGAACCTTAGGAGAACAAGATTCATCTTCCTCTATCCGGAATGTTTTGTGTCCTAAGCCATGTTGATATAAATTTTCTGCTGTAAAAGTCTGAAGAAGTTGGGCGTTAAAAGAGAGCTTTTTGACCGCACAATTAACATCACAGGGGACATCGGCAGGAGCGTCAAATGATCCATCACTATCAGCACACTTCACATACACAACACGGACAAACCTGTCAATAAAAGTAATAGCACATCATTCTACAATGCATCTGGATGACTAATTATCTGTTACATGAGCATAAAACAGAATGGTTAATTATTTTACAAAGATTTATTTTGCTTAGTTTTGCATAGCCTCCCAGCAGGCATTTTTAGGGGAGCTTGTTTTTCATCCCTCCCCACAAACGCCTGCCCTACCGAAAACAACATTCCTTTCCCACTGTTTTATTTGCATAGTAAGTGACCAATCAACAGCTGTGTAATAAAGTGTTGACGGGCTAAACATGACTAAAAGGTGACCCTAGAGTTACCGTTATGCAGTGCATGGAGTATTTTAAAATTTGACTGAACATTTATTAGAGATCAGAAAGCTTTCCCAGTGTTTCATGCAGATTGAATAATAATATTATCAGATTACCTTGGGGCCAAGGTCAGCTTTCCAGAACTTGGAAAGTACAATGTGATTGGCTAAGCGTGGGAAAGGAATGTTGTCTTCGGGTGAGAAGGCGTTTGTGGGGAGGGATGAAAAACAAGCTCCCCTAAAAATGCCTGTGTGGGGGGCTAAGTTTTGCATGGTTTCTTGTTATCCTCTCTACTGCACTGGTTTCCAGGCAGTTCTCTTTTAATTACCAACTTGTTGATAAGAAGGCCACTTTGAGCTGGTCAACATCATTCTCAGGGGGGTAGCCAGCCATTTCTAAATTTTAGGCCCTAGTTGCTGAAGTCTTGAAGGAGCGGGAAGGACATAATGGCAAGCCAAGTTAACACTGACTTGTGAACGACTGCAGCACAGACTTTATAGTTTGCTTAAAATGTTGCATTTAATGAGAAATTAGCAGTAAGTTATCAAGGGACAGACTCTTTCAGTTGAAGAGAATACTGTAATAGTTTGTAGCTGGAAGAAATGAGGAATATCTGTACATATTACATGTTAAAATAACTATATTCAGGCTAAAAAAGTTTTTAACCTGGGTTGATTCTCAATTTCCATTGTCTCCTAGTCCAAATTACTGAATAATTAGGACAAGGGGACCAAGGAAACAGAGAATCAACCTTCTGGTAGGTTACAACTTTTTAACATGAATTTAATTTTCACCTATTTCCCATGGTAAAAGGGTCGCTTATTAAGGGAAAAGTGTCCCGTGTAACCTCACCTAATACACCTTTTTACAGATTTTCCCCTGTGATTATGGTCAATCCCTTCTTTTTAAGTGTCCGTGTTTGAGAGAAACACGTCTTATTGAGATTCAAAGAAAATGACTAAAGAACGGTAAGAAAACCAAGAGTTGAATCCTCGAAACTAGCAACCATTTAAAATAGGTGTAAATTGAGTAACGTTTTAAGGCATCTGTAGACTGCGTGAGTAGACCTGGGATAACGGAATAATCGAAAAACGTGAACGCGCGTGAAAAAAGCCATCCGCGATTTTCTTGCGCACTCAAATATTCTATGTTGGTTTTTAACATCCCTGAGAAAAGTATGAAGTACCCTGGGTACCAGAGGATTTTCCTCGCGTGCGATCGACGAGGCGCTTCGTCGGCCAAAGGCCGACACGTTTGAGACTTGACGGAAACCGGAAACCACGCATGAAAAGCCTTTAGCACCAGGGGTAAGTATGCGACTACTTAGGTCTAAAGTATTGCCACAAGTACCTGCTAAGAAGTGCTCCAAGCGATCCAACAAATTCTCCACTTGTACCAATGATGCCTAGAATACTTCTCCCCAGGGGAGCCTTTAGGTGGTATTCATCACCACCCACCCCTCCTATCCATACACTAGACTTTTGATTAGTGTGGAGTCTAATCGCATCAATCCATCCTCCAGCTCTGACGTCAATAGCCGTGATGTATTCATCCGGGGAACTGATGGTGAAGATATGCCGCTTTCCTACGCCATCTGTGCCGTGAGGATCCGACAAAACCTCTTGGCATTCTCCTGAGTGACAAGAAAAAATGAAATCCAACAGTCATGATCATTGAACTTTTGCTCGAAAAGGGTGCGAATTGTAAGTGAAAAAAGGTTGAAATGGTATGCAAGAAACAAGTTAGTCTCCTAAAGGGCTCAGTGTATGATGGACTATCTGGCCTTTGCGGTATTAATTCACTTCAACATTTTCCAGTCACCTTACTTTTCTTCACCATTAAAAAATCATCCAAAAAGCAGTCCCAAGAACTCCACCCTAACGGATGCATTTTTAGTTGGAACGAAACTTAAGTAAGACTTCAAAGGAATCTGCTTTAAAGTTAAGTTCCGAGGAACCAGGCAGTTGATCATAGTCCTCCTTAACATCATCTGCTATGTAAAATTTAAATCGCATGACTTGGAGAGTTCTAGCAAAGTGTTAAGTTATTGTTTCAAAACACTTAGGATTGATATTTTACATGTGTCCATAAGTCAAGAAAGTTTTCCACCCACTTTCACCTGCCCCTCCCAACCCTGCTAAAAAGAATGGCTGGTAATAGGTAGAATAGCCAGGACTACAGATGTGTTAGTGAATTGTAATATTAGAATGAAAATCCATAGCGTTGTCGCTATTATAAAATGCCAATAATAGCGTTGTTGCTAAGATTTTTATAATATCGTCCGGGTGAGCATAGTCCTGAAATAGGACTGTTGTTGACAATGACTTACCTTTCGAAAAACTGTGTGGTAGTCATCTTCAGAGTCAGTGAGTTGTATCACTTCAGTTGATGGTATAAAACTCTGGTTATTGATCTGATTGGTCAATTGAGTCTCGATATTATTGGTCGTCTGTCAATTAAGCTGTGATGTCACTGGCTATGAAGACTCCAAATGTCCAATGATACAGGACAGACAGGGAGTATTATACAAGACCAGGCCACTTACATTGGTGATGAACACAAACAAGCGACAAAATGGGGAGGGTCACAATAACATTGCTGAACACCAATTAAATATGACTAATTGACGGAATCAACAAAATTTACAACAACTGAATGACTAGACAACCGACAATTTGACTAACAAGAAACGACTGTAAAACTGTGACAAAAGACGGATCGAAACGCACCAATGACATTTAAGAGTCTTCATAGCCAGTAACATCACATCTTAACTGACAGACTAACATCACGACTTAATTGACCAATCAGGTCAATAACCAGAATATAATACCATCAACTGACGTGATACAACTCACTTTGACTCTGAAGATGACTACCGCACAGGTGGTCGAAACGTCAGTCACCGCCAATGACAACAGTCCTATTCAGGACATGTGGATGATCATGCTTCACAAAATTATTAAATAAGTATTGAAAGGTATACCAGATTGTTCTTGATTTCCCATGATCTGTATGCAGTTAACATATTCCCCAGTGTGGATAATAAAGCCCCCTAGGGCTGCCCCCTGGGACTCTAGCCACTTGACACTGTTGAATGACTGCTGGTTTTTCTGATGGCAGCCACCGCTATTACCAACAGGACCACAAACATTATGACACCAGTGCACTAAGGGATTGTTAAAGACACTTTCATCATCTCCTTCAGGACTGGAATTGGATAACCATCTATGAATCAAAGAAACTTTAGTCACATACAAGTAGTCAACTGTCTTTGAGAGAGACTTCACCTATAAGGACTGGTAAAATAGTGTTTGTCATAATGAAATGTCCAACGAAAGGGATTTAATAACAAAATTATACCATAACCTTTTCAGGAAAAGCTGTTTAATTATATAAATAAAATAAGTAAATAAATAAATAAATAATGATTTAGAGGTAGTACACTGTGCATCCACAATACAAAGTGGTTCTTTATCTACCATTCCTGATCAAATCATAATTTGGAAATGTTGGTTTTTGAGGAGAAGAGAAAACTGGTGGACCTGGAGAAAAACCCCTCAGAGCAAATGAGAGAACCAACAACAAACTCAACCCACATGCGGTGTTGAACCCAGGCCCCATACTAATGATAGACAACTGCTCTCACCACTTGGCCACCCTTGTTCCCCTTGGCTAATAGATGATCATAAAAGATGCAAACAACACTGCTAAAACAAACACAGCAAGTGTGTTTATTCAGCGGTCATCTGGCTAGGTAATTCCTAAGGGTGACTGCTTAATAAAGGTTTGATTGTAGTAAACTTTTTCTACTGAAAACTAACTTATATCCACACACTAGAGAAGTTGTGCTAACAGAAGAAACTCACTTATGATAAGAAAGCAGAACAGCAGAGGATCTATACCAGTGGGCTCCATGGGTCCAATCACTAGGTGTGGCATGGTTGGTGTTTTTAACGGACACACTCCTATCTTCTGATCGGGATACAAGACCTTCAGCAGCTGGGTAGCCTGTGGTTGACACACGAGCTGAAGTTGCTACAGCTCTGTTGGTAGATTTTTCTGGGTCTACTGCAGCAAAGGAGAAAAGAAAATTTAACAATTATTCCACGAGTGGGCATTGGATATGAGATAGCAAGGCGTGTAGTGTCAAGTTCGCTTCAGTCAACTCGTATCCAACAAGCGCAAATTATTGTTTTATTAAAAACACCCACAAAATATCGAGAATTCTTCCTGATTTTATTTGTAAAAACAACCGATTTTCAGCTTGTTTTTAATTTTGAGCAGACACAAACAGTTACCATATTTGGAGGGCATGGTATAATGGCTCATATTATGCCATATGAGAAATATGTTTTTTGAGTGTCCTGATTTCTGGCATACAACGTATGTATCTGTATATTGAGTTCTCCTTGGAATTGTATTTCACAGTAGGAAATACTGCCCCTCTTCCCTAAAATTTACTACATATTTGAAATGAATTTTAATTCTATTGTGTGGAATATTCTACCTTAATATGCCCGCAAGTCTTGAATTCAGCTATCGACACTTGCATTACTAAATCATCAGTCACTGTACTTCCTGGTATGATAACACCTGCTGTCTCTATGCTAGGTAGACAACCACTTTTGAGAGGACGTGAGCTTCAGTGAGTCCAAAATTGTCCCCCCTCCCTCCCAGTTTTCTTTGAAATAACCTACATTTAAAAATGTTTAACAGTCCATCAAGCACACCCTAGCTACAGTCCCATAGTTGTCTGCTTTGTAAGAGTTCCACTTTTTCTACTATCAATCATTCTCTAGCACTTAACCTGGCATCACAGATTCAGCTATTAGATCCTTTTCTAATAAGCTGGGTTTTCTCCACATGGTCCATACACTGTTCATGTCATCAAATCCCCTACCCATAATGCCTTTAGGAGTGTGTGCCAAATCAAAGCAGTGACCAAGTTCATGCATTGAAGCTCCAAGACCAGTGGAATAGTTTGCCCAGTAAGTGCCCCTGAAACAAAATGAAAAAACTTTTTATAAAAAAAATCTTTTGCTCCCAAGGGAAAAGAAAACCACACTTCCAAATGTCAGAAAAATAATGGTAGCAAGTAAAAGTACCATTAAAAAGGATTTCTACAGTATATGTTACAGGTCAAAATAAAATTAATTTTCTATCTCCTTTGTCACTCTAATCATTTATGAATTAGGGCCAGCAGACAAAGGAAATTGAAAATCAACTTCGGTAAAGAAACTACTTAACATGAATATATTTTGACCTGTAATATGTACAAACAGTAAAATTACATGGTAAAGGACCAAATTATTTTCCAGGATCTCTCTCTACTATATCCCTTGTTTGTGAGGGCCGTGGACCTTTCTTTCATTTATTATTCATTGGTGACACCAAACAAGTTCATCAATTAACTCAATAGTTAGAACTACACAGTCACTGGGCTGAAGAGGTTTCATAGATACTAGAATAATAACAACATTGGGATTTCATCCACAGAATCCAAAGTTAAAACCACTCTGCAGATTATAAATAATGAAGTTATGAGGTTACATTAATATTATGAAATTTTTAATGATCAAACTAAAGATTTTGTCCAAGATAACATCAAGTCAAAAGCTAGAAATTCCCTTTAGTAAAAATTAATGTAAATCTTGGAACAAACGCCCTGTGAGCAGAGGCCTCTCTCTTGCATGGCTTTAATTGTTTAGGAAGTCGTTTGCGTCACTGGTCAGTCGCGTAGCTGGTTTGTTTTATATGCTCTGGGGTGTGTAAAACAAACCAACAACGCGACTGACAAGTGACGTGAACGACTTCGTTAATGCTAAAGCCATGCAAGAGAGAAAGAATCATTGCATAGATGGAGAGTAAGTACTTGGACAATAAATAAATAAACCTCTGATTACAAGGTAGGAAAAAAGGTAGGGCATGAAAAGTTCCTGTCAGGTAGTCCAGTCTAGCGTGATATTTTCATGCTGTGCAAGTAACTTTGGAAAGCTGACTTATCCAATGGACAAGAGTCCAAGCAACTCACTTTCAAACTAAATCAGTGACAAGTTTTTCAAGACCTAAGAAGATTATGCCACATAGGTTGACAACCATGTAAGAATTTTTCCACCATGCTAGCCTTTTTTAAATTAAATGCAATAATTCTCACTATTTCAACTGACAAAGGCTTTAAAACTAGCCAAAATGTCTCGAGAGGGAAAAGGGCTACTCAAATAATTTAGACTCAAAGTCCACATTTATTTTTAATATTATTACTGAGTTTAAACCAAACAAATAAAGGTCTACTTTCATCTTTGTTTTATCTACCTTGGAGGTGACAGTAGTTTCTCAAGGTCAAACAATTACTCAGAACGTAGTCATTTTGTTCCGTGGTTGAGAAGTTGTGAACTTCGGGTCCACACGTCGGGAGGACAAGGTTTGTTACGTTCTATCCCTCCTCCAAGGGCAGTGTGGGCCTTGACATATTTTGTAATGAGCTTCTCATCAAACTGATCTGAAGGAGGTGGGTCATAATGGGTGCAGGACATAAAAGTCCAGAACTTACACATTGGATCATAAAGATTTGAGCACTTGAGTTCTGAAAACCAAGACAGAAATTCCATGATGATAATGCTGTATTATCATCTAATTGATAACCCCTCTCAAATAAATGTCTCTTGTCCAATAAACCACTCTCCTACACTGTGATGTTAAGTTTGTATTATGATGCCCCTCTCTAATGAGCACCACCTGTCTAATAGATGCCCCCATGATAATTACTCAAAGAAAGGAAATAGGAAAAAGGAGCAAAATATTCAAAATATTTAGTTTCTTGCTTGACTTACAGGGGTTTGCATTGCCTCTTTTTCAACGTCAAGTTGAGATTTGTCTTAGAGCAAAATGGAGCTCTAAACAGTCTAGACGTATGTATCAATAGATCGACTGGAATTTTGCTATTTATAAACTCTCTTGGTGTTTTTGCTCAAAGCATACTTTGTAGGGCCTGTCACAGTTATCAGAATAAATGCATCTCTCTTTTAAACACCTCCCCCATGGACCCCTAAATGTAAATAAACCACTCTGGTGTCCATAAGATCACTTACAGTAATTGTTAATTATAATCACAACATTCCAGACAATGTTCATAGCAGCACAGGAGACATCATTTGGTTTTGCCCTCTTCCCAAACTAACCCACCCACCACTATTTTTGCTAGTTGGCTTTCAGTCTTCAAGATGGAATCCAACAGGAAATTGAATAATTTCAGTTTTCAGTGGACAAAAACCATGTACCAGAATAATTTACACAATATCGCATTCTTTTTTACATTTTTCAAGGGCTATAGATATAATGGGAGGCCGAGAAAATAAATATCAAATTTCACAAGAATTGTGAAAACACAGGTAAAATTCTGACAATTTCATGTGTAAGATGTCATTTTGCAAAATTTGACATTTATTTTCTCGGGCTCTCATAAGAAATTTTCTTTGGTGTTATTACAGATAATTAATTACATCTATAGCCCTTGAAAATGTAAAAAGAATGTGATATTGTTTATTCTGGTACCAGGTTTTGTCAACTGAAAATTAAAATTACCCATTTTCCTGATGGATTCTGTCTTATGTTTCACTTTTAGACCCCATCCTCTAAAAAATAAGGGTTTAAATCCAGAAAACAACTCAAACAAAGAGACAAATGATACTGTGAAGAATTATGAAGGTCACTGGAAATTTTGAGGGGGAGTGGTGGTTAAAGGTGAATTATTTCATTTTTCTATACCTTTGTTGTCACTGACTGTATCATACAGTTAATCCATTGGAGGCAAGATGGCTGAGTGGATAGAGAAAGTCAGAATTGTAATCCGGAGATCCCAGGTTCAATTCCCACCCTATCTATTTGTTCTTAGTAGTCCTGAGTTCAAATCCTCGACCATGCTTGTAAATAGCCAACTGGTTTGCCTCTGGCCAGTTGAGATTCTTGACCTTGTGGGCCACAATGGAAACTACTGGTTTCTCAGTAAATTATAATAATTGTGTTACCCCTATAAAGTCAGTTTATTAGTGATAACTAAGAGGAAAAGAAGAGAAGAGAGACACAAAAAAATAAAACAATATGCTTACCTTTAAAGAAAGTGTTGTACAGTTGATCTCCAGTCATGCTTAAAGCCTCTGCTGAAGTCAACTTGCTAGTAAATATGTGAACCTTAGGAGAACCAGAGTCATCTTCCTCTATACGGAATGTTTTGTGCCCTAAGCCATGTTGATATAAGCTTTCTGCTGTAAAAGTCTGGAGAAGTTGGGAGTTAAAAGAGAGCTTTTTTACTGCACAATTAACATCACAGGGGACATCGGCAGGAGCGTCAAATGATCCATCACTATCAGCACACTTCACATACACAACACGGACAAACCTGTCAATAAAAGCAATAGCACATCATTCTACAATGCATCTGGATGACTAATTATCTGTTACATGAGCATAAAACAGAATGGTTAATTATTATACAAAGATTTATTTTGCTTAGTTTTGCATAGGTTCCCAGTAGGCATTTTTAGGGTACTCGTTTTTCATCCCTCCCCACAAATGCCTGCTCTACCGAAAATAACATTCCTTTCCCATTGTTTTATTTGCATGGTAAGGGACCAATCAACAGGTGTGAAATTAAGTGTTGACAGGGTAAATACTACTAAAACGTGACCCTAGAGTTACCCTTTTCCTTCTTTTCTTTCCTAAGGTTATGCAGTGCATGGAGTATTTTAAAATTTGACTGAACCTTATTTTTGCTGCTCTGAATCTAACATTTATTAGAGATCAGAAAGCTTTCCCAGTGTCTCATGCAGATCGAATAATTATCAGATTACCTTTAGGCCNATGTGAACCTTAGGAGAACCAGAGTCATCTTCCTCTATACGGAATGTTTTGTGCCCTAAGCCATGTTGATATAAGCTTTCTGCTGTAAAAGTCTGGAGAAGTTGGGAGTTAAAAGAGAGCTTTTTTACTGCACAATTAACATCACAGGGGACATCGGCAGGAGCGTCAAATGATCCATCACTATCAGCACACTTCACATACACAACACGGACAAACCTGTCAATAAAAGCAATAGCACATCATTCTACAATGCATCTGGATGACTAATTATCTGTTACATGAGCATAAAACAGAATGGTTAATTATTATACAAAGATTTATTTTGCTTAGTTTTGCATAGGTTCCCAGTAGGCATTTTTAGGGTACTCGTTTTTCATCCCTCCCCACAAATGCCTGCTCTACCGAAAATAACATTCCTTTCCCATTGTTTTATTTGCATGGTAAGGGACCAATCAACAGGTGTGAAATTAAGTGTTGACAGGGTAAATACTACTAAAACGTGACCCTAGAGTTACCCTTTTCCTTCTTTTCTTTCCTAAGGTTATGCAGTGCATGGAGTATTTTAAAATTTGACTGAACCTTATTTTTGCTGCTCTGAATCTAACATTTATTAGAGATCAGAAAGCTTTCCCAGTGTCTCATGCAGATCGAATAATTATCAGATTACCTTTAGGCCAAGGTCAACTTTCCAGAACTTGGAAAGTACAATGTGATTGGCTAAGCGTGGGAAAGGAATGTTGTCTTCGGGTGAGAAGGCATTTGTGGGGAGGGATGAAAAACAAGCTCCCCTAAAAATGCCTGTGTGGGGGGCTAAGTTTTGCATGGTTTCTTGTTATCCTCTCTACTGCACTGGTTTCCAGGCAGTTCTCTTTTAATTGCCAACTTGTTGATAAGAAGGCCACTTTGAGCTGGTCAACATCATTCTCAGGGGGGTAGCCAGCCATTTCTAAATTTTAAGCCCTAGTTGCTGAAGTCTTGAAGGAGCGGGAAGGACATAATGGCAAGCCAAGTTAACACTGACTTGTGAACAACTGCAGCACAGCCTTTATAGTTGGCTTAAAATGTTGCATTTAATGAGAAATTAGCAGTAAGTTATCAAGGGACAGACTCTTTCAGTTGAAGAGAATACTGTAATAGTTTGTAGCTGGAAGAAATGAGGAATATCTGTACCTGTTACATGTCAAAATAACTATATTCAGGCTAAAAAAGTTTTTAACCTGGGTTGATTCTCAATTTCCATTGTCTCCTAGTCCAAATTACTGAATAATTAGGACAAGGGGACCAAGGAAACAGAGAATCAACCTTCTGGTAGGTTACAACTTTTTAACATGAATTTAATTTTCACCAGTTACATCTGTCTCTTAAGGTGAGTATATTTCTGCATGTTTGGTTTGTGAGCACTAAAGCTACATTGTAAGGATCACTATTTCACTCAGTATCGTAGATCACAGGTAACCATAGAGAGGCTTATGTATCAACTTAAAACACCAAGATGGCATTCAGCAACAGATTCAGTTCCTACTGAATAACCAGCCAATTTTGCATGCCCATTTATAATACACAACAGCAATTATAATGGCTTCTTTAAGGGCAGCTACGCCACTGATTCTCTTAGAGAAACACACCTCTCTAAGATAGTCACCTATTACTAGTCCGGAATATCCCTAAATTTAAGGACAGGGCCAACTGGTCACGCGCCATTTTTTAACCAATGAGATGGCGCGCTTGTGTTTATCAACAAACAAATCAAAACATCGCCCCAGTGATCAAAAATTTTCAAAACAACGGACAGAGTCGGACAGAATTAAAGATGAGCTTACCATGCTTACACTACTCGTCTAGGTTTCACATTTAATATTAATTCAAAGAAAAAATGTCATGTAAGAGAATAAGAGGATTAATCATTGCAAGGAATCATTGGGGTGTTCGAACTAATTCTGGACCGATCGCAGAGGTCGTGGCTTCACTGGCATGGCTTGCAAGATTTTTGATAGAAGCAAACTCGTCCCGTGTAAAAATAGCTTTAGAGAGAGTGTGAAAATTTGTCGAGATCGTACAAAACAGCATTGGTACTACCTATTAACTTCTACAGGACAAGAATCAAAGAACCAGTCATCATAACAAGAATAGAAAGTAGTTCAAATTTATTAATTTTTCTTGTTTGTTTTTTTGTGTTTTTTCATGTTGACTTCAAGCATCTGGTGCTTTCTTTGCTTGCTGTAGTACGTGCAATGTTTTAATTTTATCCCAGATAATCAGTGCATGTTCAATGAGTAGCGAAATACAGCATTTACAATTGAGATTTGCCTTGTTTCTTTGATTGTTTTTTTACCGGGGATGAACATTTGGAGAATCCAACAACATTAAATCTTTCCAGATTAGTGAATTTCAGAAACAAAGCGGTTAGTATCTACCTTGCGCTTATGATCTTCAATTTCATCCCCGCAAATTCAGCAAAGTGAGGCGAGATGTTGGACGTGAATATCCATAATACTAATAAAGTTGTTGAATATTTCACGAGACACTTCCAATATGGCTTCCGATACGCTGTCCACTTAGAAAAATTGTGTATGCCTCATGAAAAGTCTTAAAAATATGCCTGAGAACCTCGAAACGATGACTGATTCTGTCCGACTCCGTCCATTGTTTTGAAAATTTTTGATCACTGGGGCGATATTTTGATTTGTTTGTTGATAAACACAAGCACGCCTTCTCATTGGTTGAAAAGTGTCGCGTGACCAGTTGGCCCTTTCCTTAAATTTAGGGATACTCCGAACTGATTACTGGTCCTAACATCAGCGACTGCACTGTGACTTTCAGACCTGTCTTGCGCCTGATCAATAATTTCAGCCTAACCTTAGTTCATCCATTTATCATTAGTTGTTCAGTGCACATAAACTTACCTTGATATTTGCAGTGGTTTGTAAATCAATTTGAATTCAATATCAATATCTTCATTATGCATTAATTTCAAAACAATCAAGTTTTCTCCAGTTTTAAGCGGAACAACAGCCTTAAATCCTCCTTTGACTACCGGCCACACCACTTGATGGCAATTACATTTTACCAATAACTTTGTGTCTTCTTGAAAACTTTCAAGGGTATACTGAGGAGATGAGTCCAGTATCTGGAGCTTATCCGCTCTGTCAGATTCAGGGTCACTCGACGTCCGTAGTAATCTTCTCTGGCCAACTGAGGAGCTGTGTTCTGTATCAATAATTATTCCTTCTAGCAACACCAATGGATAGCAAATCGTTTCTCCATGTAAGTAGTTCAGAATTTGAATTTTATAACTAGAGCTTGTAGTAGAATTCATCGTTGATGTTGTATATCATCCTAGTCGAGCTTTGCTTTAGAACACTGAATATTTCATTGACGAAAGGAAATCGCCGATTAAATCTGCATGTGCAGACAGCTTGCTAGTGTAAGTACTGTGGGCTTTTTAAAGTCATTCCAGAGCTGAAACGACATTAACAAAGATTCACTCGTGACGTGGCCGAGAACTCACTGTCAAAGCAGCGTCAAAAGAGATAAATTTCATCCCGTTTCCAAGGAAATTTTCTGCATTTTGTTGGAGAATGAATCGGTTCGCCATGTTTGTTTTCTAATGTTGTGCCCAGACTCCAATTACTTGGTAATCGAACATGAGTGAAAACTGGGTTCGAAAGCTCTGTCGGCAGAAAAAAAGTGAAAAACAAAGGAAAGAAAATGAAACGTGACAGGTTTCCAGCGAAGTAAAACAAAGGATTGTCGGTGGCGGGAAGTCTTCTGATCTGTCAACATTTGTAAAACCGGACTGTAGAAAGTCTGCAAATTTCAAGATCAGGCTTTCCAGTTTGTCGTGAAAACACAACTCAGTTTGTATTTGCGCTGTGCGTGGTATAATTATTGGGCCTGTTGTTCAGCTGAAACCTGGAGAACAATTCATGAATCGTTTGATGACAACAGTAACTGTTGTTTTCACGTCGTCGTCCTGATCATTAGATGCGAACGAAAGATTCATTTAAAGGTAGGCATTCAGTCATTGAATTTCTTTAAAAGTCACTCGAGCTCACTTTATCAAACGTTAAATAGTCCATTGTCTTCTTGCCTCACTTTTTAATACGACTTTGCGAACCAGATGTTTCAAAGTTGCTAACGAAAATTTCAGGTTATTTAAAATTAAGAGTCCTTATTAAATTTCAATGAAATCGTAGTTTATCTTTAGACCGCGTATAAAACCTTTTTT